AGAAAAATGAATTGCACACCAAGTGAACGCCAAATAAAATGTGCATAATAGTGCAGAATATTATTAGTACTTCATAAATTCATATGCGTTTTTGAAAAATCGGAAATAGCTTAAATTACTACTTTCGGTCAACGGAAATTATTAAAAATTTGACAAAAGGTAGAGATTTAATCTATCACATGTGAAATTTCATTTATCTATCTGAAACAGTACTTAAGTTATAGGCTTTTGAAAAATTCAAAGTAGAAAAAGTACCACTTTCGTTTATCGGAAATCGCTCAAAAGTTGATACGGATCTACGATTTTAATATAATACTTATATATGAAATTTCATCAACCTAGCTGTAACGGTTCTCAAGTTATCGTGTTTACAGACAGACACACACACACAGACACACATACACACACAGACATACGGACAAGATTGCAAAACTATGTTTTTCCGACTCAGGGAGGTGTAAAACGTCGAGATCTGCAAAAATCTCAATTTCTTTTTTGCACGATTACAAGACCTTCTCTATACTTCGTATATACGAGAAAGTAAAAACTGAAACCTATAAAACAATATGTTGTGTTGATACGTTAACGAGTACTGAGAGACTAAAATACCGCAACAGCTTCACTGTGAACAAATGAGCTCTGATAGTACACAATGCTAGACTCTGGAGGCTGCTTGATTTCAAACCCCATCATAAGGTTGTCTCTGTATCTCTCCACAGAATTAGCTCGGCCCCAGTCTTTCAGGTAGTCGTAGTACGTCTGGTAAGGAGAAAAAAAATGCGGATATTTTATTTAGATAAAACAAGTCTAGGCAAGAACGGATTTGTAAATAGCTCAACTGCGACATGAATGGTGTTTCTTTCAGACATTTTACCTGGAAGAACGCGAATCTTTACGGGGAGGGGGGGTGTCAAGGTATACCTAAAATTATCTAAAATTACTAACAGAAATGGCAGATATTTTCATTCAAATTTTTTGTGTGGTTTTTTTTTTATGTTGGTGTCACCCCCAAAGAATGGTGTCATCCGGCGCGATCCTCCTCCGCCAATTCTACAGAGTTAACTTGCAATATTATTTCATTTTTTATTTTTTTATTTAAGAGTGTCCCCTTCGCCACCAACCCTAACATCTAGTATGCATGAAAGTCGGTAGTTCATAGTTCAATCTTTTTTATGAAGAAAACTTAATCATGCAGCAAACGATTATTTCACTTATCATCGAAGAATTTGGAAAGTGTTAAAAATAATTAAAGCTTTTGAATTTTCCATTTGAAAATCTCTGGTTTTCGAAGTTTTAGTACCTAAATTATGTATAACAGTAATCATAGTTATTTATTTTAGAAATTAGAAATTTTGAAAAAAAAAGTGCAATCAGTGTTAAAATAATTGAGGACCCTGTCAAGGCTGACGGTCCACGGGTTAGGTGAGGTAGAGTTCGCCTGTTTCATTGACCTCAGCATAGTGAAAGAAAGTGTGACCATCCCTATGCCCAGCATCCTCTACTCTATCTAACGTGAGCCAGGTACCCATCAGAGCTGAGTAGACTCAAGAAAGTTCTACTGACATGAGCCCGAGATTCGAACACGAGACTTGCGGCGTCGCAGTCGTATGCTCCACCATACCCAACCACGCCCAATCAGTATTTACCTACAGGCTACGACGTTCGTTTTATCAAACCATTTACCGAACTTGAAAATATGCTCTACCATACCCAACCACCCCTAATCAGTATTTACCTACAGGCTACGACATTCAATTTATCAAACCATTTACCGAACTTGAAAATATTCTCTACCATACCCAACCACACCTAATCAGTATTTGCCTACAGGCTACGACATTTGTTTGATCAAACCATTTACCGATTTTGAATCAGGCTCAATGACTTGAAAGTCAGGAGGTAAAAGTTCTCTAACACTGTTGTAAATCTGTTGTGCCTCTGGTTCTCTGGGTTTACCCATAACCACAATGATATCATTGTAATCCTGAGCCTTGAAGTACATTGACTGTACGAACGGAGACTTGTGACTACTTGAAATGTAGATAGTCAACAGAGATACGCTGGCTAACATCAACAGAAGGACGGACAACGGAGCTCTTCGCAACAATATCCATCTTTTTCTCAATACTGCGCAGAGCTGTTGAACTCTCAGTCGATGTCCGGTGATTCGCTGTATCTCACAGGTAGGTGTGTCTGGTCTAGCTAGTAAATAAAAGATGATGATGGCTGCATTAATTAATTGAACACAATCAGTCATTATCAGTGGCGTTGTTGTGTCACCCGGTGCGGCACTTAATGGTGTCACCCCAGAGGCGTAGCGAACCTTCCCGGGGACAAACTTTCAAGTTTTCGATATTGCACCCCCCCCCTCAAGTTTTCGATTTGCACCCCCCCCCCCATCAAGTTTTTCTCTATATATTTTGCTATTTTTTGCCTTGGTGTCACCCCCCCACAAATGGTGTCACCCGGTGCGGTCCGCACCCCCCCCCCCCGCACCCCCCCTCGCTACGCCTCTGGTCATTATCTATTTATAGTTTTGCGGCTTGAAGGATTACTAGCGTGGGAAAATGAAACGTGTGCTTGTGGGAAAAAAATATTTTGAGATCGATGTCATTAAATTTTATGAACATAAAAGCTAATGCAATAGCAAATTGGGCGTTAAGTAATTAATTAAAAACTAAATATTATATTAAGCTGATATGGTAAAGAATATTTTCTAGATTAAATATTATTGTTATATTTTATTTACATTTGCCAAGAATTAAATTTTTATTTCAATACTCAAATGTATCCTTATGGACTTGAGGGTTCATATGGCTGTTAAAGTAGAGTTTTTTTTTCATGACGGTACATGCAAGGGTAGTCAGCACTATGCCAAGCCGTCTTTATGTCCCATAATCTGAACCTGGTACCCATCAGAGCTGGGTGGACTCCGATAATTTCTACAACTCGTGGCCCATTCCTCGCTAGACACTCGTCAAAGTTATTTTAAATATGTTAAGTAACCCTAAATTTGTAATGATGATACGAAAGTTGAGACACGACAAACTAACTGTTTACAATATAACATGTAGGTCATCGAGTAGTCTATAGTTGCTCACCAGTAAACACCAGTGAAGCTTCTTTAATGACGTCATCAGCACTAGAGCTAAGATCTACCCCATCGACTGAGTCCATGAAGTGTGGGGAACTTTTCGGACTAGGATCGAGATGATGGCAAAAATTATCTTATCTTATCTTATCTTAGCTTATCTTATATATATATATATATATATATATATATATATATATATATATATATATATATATATATATATACATATATATTTATATATATTTATATATATATACATATACATATACAAATACACACATGTATATATATGTATATATATATATATATATAATATATATATAATATATATATAATATATATATATATATATATATATATATATATATATATATATATATATATATATATATATATACACACATATATATATAAACCTTATTAGCACTTGAAAATGTCTTACCTAAGTGCAGGTGAATCTTTTTTTAATTCGGTATTTCCTTGACTTATTCCAAAAAAAAGAGAGAAAAAGAAATTTAACTTTGCCCTAAGCACCGACAAGGTTTTGGTCTAAAATAACTTAAACAACAAAACAATTTTAAAGTACTCTAAGATAGTTTTAAGCACTGGTCCACAAAATGTTTTTTAAAAAGTGCATATTGATATTTTCTTTGTGATCTTGTTCTTTGATAGTTGTGAACTCTTAAAGCACTTTTTGTTTTAAGAGTGTTTTTCCAATTTAAACTGAGTGCTCGCACATTGAAATAAGCAGAGAGTGCACCTAGGGTGACATAAGCTGAAAATGCACTTTTTAGTGATAAAAACTGAGAGTGCACTTAGAGTGATATGAACCGAGTGTGATAAAACGATCAGAAAAAAACTTACGTTATTTTCTAGACAAATTAACTGCCCTTTAACATACCGATACTGTACTTTATTATCCCAAGCTTCATTTCACAAATCTTAGCGCTAACTTTACCATTTTGAAATTTGGAGTTTTACAAAGGTTATTACCGTAATTTATTTTGCTGGAGTATTGAGTGAGTGTTTACAATCGTCTAATGAATAACTCAGAAAAGACATAAGTGATGATAATTAACAATAACCAGGAAGCTCCAGTGACAATAGACGGAAGACGGGTAAAGGATGTGGAAGAGTAGGTCTACCTTGGCAGCAAGATCAGCAAAACGGGAGGCACATAGGAGGACATACGTGCTAGAATTAATAGAGCCCGCTACGCTTTCACAGTTCTGCGACCCATATGGAAAAATTCTGCCATCTCCATTACCACAAAAATTAGGATAGTTAACTCAAATGTCAATGCAGTTCTGCTGTATGGAGCAGAGACATGGAGAGTCTCCAAAGCAAAGATACAGACCTTCATGAATAGATGCCTTAGACAGATATTGAAACTGAGATGGCAGGACAAAGTGCCGAACATAGAATTATGGAGGAAAGCAAGACAGGAGCCTATGGCTGTGCAAATAAGAAGGAGGAAGTGGCGCTGGGTGGGTCACACACTGCGAAGGGCTCACCCAAATGTTACACGCCAAGCGCTTGAGGGGAACCCCCAGGGAAAGCGGAAAAGAGGGCGCCCAAGACAGACCTGGTGGCGTAGTCTTCTTAAAGAACTGAATCCAACAGGGATGTCTTGGGAGACGGCAAAATTAATAGCCGGGGATCGGATGAAATGAACGGAAATGGTTGACGCCCTATGTTCCATAAGGAGCAAAGAGGACTAAGTCAAAGTCAAGTCAATGAATAACTCAAATCTAACCAAACTTACTCATTGACAAAATCTTCTTGCAGGCTCCTGTTAAAGAAATGAGAAACATGGTAATTCGCAGAAAGGCAAAAACCTTGAACACATTCAATACAGTGAGGACGAAAAAAATGTTATGAACAACGTGGCACCATGTTCTTTTAATTATTTCCGGCGTGTATATATATATATATATATATATATATATATATATATATATATATATATATATATATATATATATATATATATATATATATATACCAATATATTTATTTATACCAATATATACCATATATTCTACATATTGTATTTATGTATGTTGAATAATTAGATAAGATATTAATATACATCTATATATATGAATATAGTCCCATATATGAGGCCTAATGAAAGGATGATGTTGTCGACTAATGAAAGGATGATGTTGTCGACTAATGAAAGGATGATGTTGTCGACTAATCCCTAGCTGGCTTTACTTTCCCCAACGGAAGAAAGGTATTCATCAGAGCTAGTTGGACTAAGGGACGTTCTACAATCACAAGCGTGAACCTGGATCCGAACATGCGACAATCAGGCTAGCAGCCATACGCCCTTCCATCCGACAACGACGTTATTTAGAAATGTTAGGAAAAAAAAGAGATTTTCAAGCTTTGTTGTAAACATTTAAAAAAAAAAAAAAACAGCGTTCGAATAGCTTGATGGTAGAAAAATGTAATTATATTATAATGGATTAAATAATTTCACCGACGACTCAAGAAAAAGAAAACAGAGAAGGCCAAGGGAGACGTAGAGGCACAAGTGGCGTAGGCAGGGGGTGGTAGGGGGGTCATAACCCCCCATAGACCCCTCGGTATATATATAAAGTTTGAGGGGGGTGTAAATCGAAAGTTTGAGGGGGGGTGCAAATCGAAAGTTTAAGTGGGGTGCAAATCGAAAGTTTGTCCCCGGGTTATATACTGCTGGAAAAAATTTGAACCCCCCTCCCCCATGAGACGATCCTGCCTACGCTACTGAGAGGCACGGAGGGGAAGCAGCTGGCAGAGGCAGGACTGTCTTGGGGGACTGCCAGGAAAATTCGCCGGTGACCGGCAAAAGTGTAAGGAGCTTTCTACGGCGTCCCCGTGTGGGTTTGTCACAAAAAAAAAAAGAAAAAGACGACGAGATGAAGCACCCGATGTGTGGCATACGCAGTGGTGTAGCGAGGTCGGGTGTCACCCGGTGCGGCACTTAATGGTGTCACCCCCCCCCCCCCAGAGGCGTAGCGACTCTTCACGGGGACAATTTTTCAATTTTCGATTTGCACCCCCCTCAAACTTTCGATTTGCACCCCGCCCCCTAGAACTTTCGATTTTTGCAACCCCCCCCCCCCTTTCAAAATTTTTCTCTATATATTTTACTATTTTTTGCCTTGGTGTCACCCCCCCCCCCCCACCTAAATGGTGTCACCCGGTGCGGTCCGCACCCCTCGCCCCCGTCCCCCCCCCCCTCCCTTCGCCTCTGGGCATTCGTGTTACCTTGTGAAGACATCCTGCATGGAGGTTGGTGCTAGCCTGTACGAGGTTATATGCAGTGATTCCATCTCATTTTCCAGGCTACTCAGCAGCCTTGGAATCTCACTGCCACTACTTCCGGGCAATGAAAAAATGAGATCTGTGGCGTTAGACGTCTGAAAGTTCAAAAAGTAAGAAAAAATAGCATTCATTCTTTACTTGCATGGTTACCTGTAGTGTTTCTTTCAGACTTTTTTTTCAATGGGGAGGGGGTGGGGGAATTAAAATTAGTGGGGGAACTGACTAAATTTCCTGGGGGGGGGCAACTCTGGTAAAAGTATATATTATCTATATAAATTCTATTTCGTTCGGGGGAGTGGGGGAGGTAGACATTCTTCAGGGGGGACTCACCCCCCCCCCCCTCCCGAAGAGATGCCTGGAAGAAACTCTGGTTACCTGAAAAATGGCTTCTCTAATACAAGACGTGACGTGTTTGACAACCTTGTGACCATTGCAGTTGTCTCCCTTGACAATGGTTAGCTTGTGCTCCAGTCCTGGTTACACATACAAGAAGAAAGGGAGACAAATCACGGGAAGTCTGGACATTTTTTTTTAAAATTATTGTCTGCCTGTCTTTATTTTAAAAAAACAACAACGTCAAAACGTCTACTCCCCCCGAAAATTTCAAGTGTCACCCTCCCCCTTTCTCTCCGGAGAAAAGAACCCGAAAGAAACACTGGAAACGATGACGACGATACATTACCAAAAATGTTCTTGAGAAACATTGGAGTCCCACAGCACTTGATCCTGCCTTTCTCCATGATGGCTATCCTGTCACCCAAGTTCTCGGCCTCATCCATAAAATGTGTGGTCATAAAAATAGTTCGACCTTGGCGCCAACTTTTCAAAGCTCTCCACATGTCTTGTCTGGAGGCTGGATCCAGTCCAGTTGAAGGCTCATCCAGGATGACGGTCTGTTTTTACAAATTTTTAGTAATGTCAATTGAGTTAGTCTACAAATGTCATATAGATAATAGTTTCAAATGTCTTAAACCAGGGGTTCCCAACCCTGTGCCCGCGGGCGCCATGGCGCCCGCTGAACGATTCGTATGTGCCCGCCTCTCACTATTCGACAGAGACAGAATTTTTTTCATAAACATTATTTTAAAATATGATTTATTTGTATTCATTTGTTACAGTTTTACATTTTTTTGGACTGCCTAGGTTTATTAAATATTTCGATACTTGTCCCAACTTGTCTAGCGGCGAGCCAGACTGCACTATTTACGCTAGCCTGGAACGGCTAGTGCCATTTGAATCATTTTTCGGTTCGACATATTTATGCGAATCATTGTTTTCAAACATGACCTTAATAATAAAATCAAGTCAGATCTCGACTCAACGATGAGCATCTTTATTGTCTGCTAACAGGATAATCGCCATACTCTCCTAATTATGAAGCTCTGGCCAATAAAATGCAAGGCCAAAGATCACATTGACCTTATTATATTTTTTAATTAAATGTTTTCTTTGTATTTATGTGTTTTGTTTACTTTCTTTATGTTTTTAAATACATTTCTCTTTGTGTATGCAATTTGAAAAAAATGCCAAATTATTTTATTATTTTGAAACATTTTTGTTTATTATTTATGAATGCATTATGACTATAAAAAAATAAGAAAATAAATTATGGGAAAATGACAAATTATGGAAGGAGTTTGTCGATTTAAAATAGGTGGTGCCCGCCACCCTACCGATATTTTAGAATGTGCTCTAGAGTAAAAAAAAAGGTTGGGAACCCCTGTCTTAAACTTTCAATCTCTCGTCACCCATGATGATGGTCTGTTTTTATAAGATTCAACATCTATAACGTATCTGTCTACGGTCTTAAATGATCTTCAAACTCGCAATAGACGGAGCGGCATAACGGTAGAGAGCTAGACTCCTATCTCGTAAGTCTCGAGTTCGAATCCGGGTTCAAGCCAGTAGACCATCCCTGAGTCCACCCAACTCTGATGGGTACCTAACTCACGTTAGGGAAATTAAAAGCGGCTGGGAATAGTGCTGACCACACTATCCTTGTATATGCCGAGGTCATAGAAACAAGTGAACTCTACTTTACTTGCCCATGGACCGTCAGGTTTGGAAGGGGAACTTTATTTTTAGTTCACAATATGCGACATATAAGTAAGGCGCCACAGTATAGTAGACCATTGGATGATTGAGCTTTGGAAAATCCAAGCGTAATGCCTGGACGGGAAGATGAAAAGAGCCAGATGTTGCCCATATATCAGGCCCCCTTCTCTCCACACAGCTGATGGACCCAAGGGACAGGACATTACCTGTACAATTTAGCATTGGCAGTGTCGCAGGAGCTGCCTTAAACAAACCAGAGTTGGTATCCTATCGCCTGTGTGACTAGGGAGTTATCTCTCCTAGAAGGGTTGCTGCCCCCAGCTGACTAGTTTATGTTCTAGAATTCTTCTACATTACTACACACACGATCGTCGGTGGAACATAGCGTAATTACACTAGTGCATAGCCTAACGCTTCTATTTTAATACAACCTAAACCTACTACTATTTGATTTATAAAATCTATATTATTATATTTTTAAATTACGCCTTATATACGCCTTATTTGTATAATAGAGTATGAACATAGCGTAATTACACTAGTGCATAGCCTAACGCTTCTATTTTAATACAACCTAAACCTACTACTATTTGATTTATAAAATCTATATTATTATATTTTTAAATTACGCCTTATATACGCCTTATTTGTATAATAGAGTATGAACATAGCGTAATTACACTAGTGCATAGCCTAACGCTTCTATTTTAATAGAACCTAAACCTACTACTATTTGATTTATAAAATCTATATTATTATATTTTTAAATTACGCCTTATATACGCCTTATTTGTATAATAGAGTATGAACATAGCGTAATTACACTAGTGCATAGCCTAACGCTTCTATTTTAATAGAACCTAAACCTACTACTATTTGATTTATAAAATCTATATTATTATATTTTTAAATTACGCCTTATATACGCCTTATTTGTATAATAGAGTATGAACATAGCGTAATTACACTAGTGCATAGCCTAACGCTTCTATTTTAATAGAACTTAAACCTACTACTATTTGATTTATAAAATCTATATTATTATATTTTTAAATTACGTCTTATATACGCCTTATTTGTATAATAGGCAATGAACATAGCGTAATTACACTAGTGCAAAGCCTAACGCTTCTATTTTAACAGAACCTAAACCTACTACTATTTGATTTATAAAATCTATATTATTATATTTTTAAATTACGCCTTATATACGCCTTATTTGTATAATAGAGTATGAACAAAGCGTAATTACACTAGTGCATAGCCTAACGCTTCTATTTTAATAGAACCTGAACCTACTACAAATGACTTAATAATTAATTATTTCTGTTTACTAGATAAGATAATGATCACAGGGGTAAGGACTATAGTGTACAACTTAGAACAAAGAAATTACCTGGGTTTGGCCGACAAAAGCGCAGGCTACAGAAAGTTTTCGCTGTTGACCACGTGAGAGATTGCTAGGTGTTTTATCCGCTTTTCCTTCGATACCCAGTCGTGCCAAAATGTCCAAAGCATCATCTTTCTGGATTCTGTTACCGCGCAGCTAGTGGACATAAGGTGGATGATGTGTCACCAGAGGCGTAGCGACCCTTCCCGGCGCCCGGGGACAAACTTTTCGATTTGCACCCCCCCCCCCTCAAACTTTCGATTTGCAACCCCCCCTCAAGATTTCGATTTGCACATCCTCAAGATTTCGATTTGCACCCCCCCTCAAACTTTCGATTTGCACCCCCCCCCCACACTCAAACTTTCGATTTGCACCCCCCTCGACCTTTCAATTTATTTTTCCAACCCATTTTGGCGCTCCCTAAGGTCGGCGCCCGAGGACATATGTCCCCCCCCCCCCCCGCCCCCCCCCTTGCTACGCTACTGTGTGTCACTCTTTAAAGAGAACATTCATAAAACATACTCTATCCTATGAAATAAACGGATGAACTACAAGTAGTTACAAATGGCGTAGCTAGGGGAGGACGGGTGGGGCGGCCGCCCCCGAGCGCCGACCCTAAGGGGGCGCCAAAAAAAGGGGTGGAAAAAAAATAAAAAGCTCATTTAAAGCTAGGATATTGAATTCTAAACAAATGAAAGTTAGGAAAGTAAAAGTTTGCATGGCTTTACACACTGATTTGACAGTTTTCTAAATAAATTGTGTTGCACACAATAAGAACACTTTTCTTTACAGTGAAGGGTAAAAAGTGCCACCACTTGGGGGGCGGGGGCAGTGGCGTAGCTACCGTAAAGCTAGCGTAAGCAAGGCATAGGGGCCCAGGGCAAATAGGGGCCCTTTTTTGAAAGTCTGAGGGGGGGGGGGGGGTGCACATCGAAAGTCTGACGGGGGGGGGGGGGTGCAAATCGAAAGTCTGAAAATTTGTCCCCGGTCGCCCGGAAGGGTCGCGTCGCCTCTGAGGGGCCCACTAACACTTTTTGCATAGGGGCCCGAAAATCCTAGCTACGCCACTGGGCGGGAGTGGTTCACCAGCTAGAACAACCATAATATAGAGAGGTAAGTTGGGCGCTAATTCAATAGTTCGCCACGGGCGCCAGAATAGATCTCTGAGTAGATCTTGGTACAAAAACATTAGTCAAAATTCTTTACCGCTACTAAATGAAACTGAACTGAGAACGGCGTAGAAGGCTAGATGGCTGTCCCAAGAGTCTCGAGTTCGAATCCGGGTTCAAATCAGTGGAACATCCCTGAGTCCACCCAGCTCTGATGGGTACCTAACTCACATTAGAGAAAAGGCGGCTGGGCATAGTGCTGACAACGCTATCCTTTTAAATGTCGAGGTCTCTGAAACAGTTGAACTCTACTTCATCTGCCCCTGTGCCTAGGGCATGAAATGGAAATGATGATAGTATATGAAATTTAGCTAGTACTCTGCATTTTGGTAGAAAAAAATAATTGAAAAAAAAAACAACAACAAGTGCATATTTACCTTTGAGTAGAAGACTAAATGCTCAAAGGAAGTAAGGTTTGGAAACAAGGTATCTACATCAGAACAATATCCCACTGTTCTTCTAATGCCTCTACTACTGACGTCAGAGCCGTTGATTGTTACTTTACCTTTAGTTATTGACGTCACACCTAAAAAAAAAGTTTGAAATTCATTCTGCGGGAAAGTATGCTTCTTAATTTAAAATATCTAAAAATATCTAGGTATATTAAATGAGGTTGTTAGAGGTATTTTTTTACTTCTTTTAAAGATTTCCGCTTGAATGTTTTTTTGGTCTGATAGACAACGAGGTTAAGTTAGGTCATGTAATGGTGGCTGGGGCATACAGCTGAATACACTAGACCTTCCTGTCTCATTGACATATAAATAAGTCAATGCTAGCTAATATGTCAAGACGTCAATTCCGATAGAGAATTTTTAAAACAAATTTCACTATTAAAATACATCAATTAGATTTTGAAATTATAAATGCATATATTCCTGGACGAACCGCACACAGACATATCATACTAAAATAGGCCCTAATATGATGGGCCACACCCAAAAGAAACTGAAATAAAATGTACCCCCCAGACACGAGCCCTACTTTAATGGACACCATACATCCCTAGTATAATGGACCCCACACAGACGAGCCCTACTATAATAGATCCCATACAGACGAACCCCAATATATAGGACCGAACCCAGACGAACCACACTATAATGAACCACACCCAGATGAACCCCACTATAATGAACTACACCCAGACGAGCCCTACTATAATGGACCCCATACAGACGAACCCCAATACATTGGACCGAACCCAGACGAACCCCAGTGTGATGAACCACACCCAGACGAACCCCACTATAATGAACCACACCCAGGCGAACCACACTATAATGAACCCCACCCAGACAAACCCCACTCAAATAGACCCCACTCAGATGAACCCCAGTATGATGGACCTCTCCTAACGTACCCACCCTCGGTCCGTTCCTGATAATAGGTGGAGTAGAGCGTATCTGAAAAAAAAACTAAACACAAGAGGTCTAGTCACGTCTGTACTACGTTTATAAACGAATTGTTCAACCACTGATCATGTACATGATATACGAAGAATGAAACCTCTATATCAGGGGTCTCCAAACTTTTCAGTCCGAGGGCCGCTTTAGCTATCAAATTTCAGTTCGGGGGCCAGTTTCTTCCAGGCATGTCGTTATTTTTCTGAGCAAAGTTCCTCAGCCAACTCCAACAAACGTTTTTTTTCCGTGGACAAAAAGATCTCCGCGGGCCGGATGAGAGGACCTCGCGGGCCGCATTCGGCCCGCGGGCCGTAGTTTGGAGACCCTTGCTCTATATCAACACTTTGACAGCATCCAGCCGTACCTGAGATTATAGACAGTGTCGTTGTTTTCCCAGCGCCATTGTGACCCAGCAACATAGTGATCTGGTCCTTGTAGATATCTAAGTTGATACCAGACACAACTGTGTCTTCACCGTACACCTGTGTATACAAGAATTAAAACAGCAAAATGAAACGTTTTCATAGAAAAAAATTTAAATATAATAAATATTGTTTTTTCTTATTCATATTTATTGTTACTTTTGATCTAGTAGTAAAGTTCATCTTTAGACCTAACAATCCATGAGGCAGGTAGAGTATGTTTCTTCAACTAGGCATCTAAAGGGATAGTGTAGACAGCACTATGCACAGCCATCATGGCTTTTCCCAACGTAAGTTAGGTATCCACCAGAGCTGGGTGGACTCAGGAACATCCTTCAGTGACAAGTCTGAAGCGAGATCCGAACATCGGGGCTTTCGGGCTAGCAGCTAAATGCTCTAACGTTCGACCACGCCGTCCCACACCTTTAATCTAATACAACTATTAATTTAATTACTAGTCGTAAATTTAAAGGAAATTAACCCGATAATTTCGAGTTCGAATCCGGGTTCACAGCGTGTAGCACTTTCGTTTCAAAACCAAACATGAGGCAAAATACACTGCTAGAGTTTTAAAAAATTACAACATTGTGTTCCCGCAGTACTTTAAACACATGTTAGTGGAACGTCCCTGAGTCCTCCCAACTCTGATGGGTACCTAACTCACGTTAGGGAAAGTAAAGGCGGCTGGGCATTGTGCTGACCACATTATCCTTTCATATGCCGAGGTCAAGAAACATACGAACTCTACTTCATCTGCCCAATGGATCGTTCGGTCTAAACAGGAATCTTTACTTTAAGTGGATTTGTAACATAAAAATTATGAAGCATAACAATACAAAATAACATGTTTAAATCTTATTCCTAAATTAACAAATCAATACTTTAACAAGATCTCTAATAACAATCCCAAAAGCGTCTTCTCCTGTGGCAGTTTCAAAACATTTGTCATTTTGTACTGGCGGTACAGGCCCCACGTTAGTTCGTTTTATGTGCTTTTTCTGGTGAGAGAGAGAATTATTTTTAAAAAAGCATAGGTATAAGTTACTATGTAAAAGAATATATCTATAATTGTTTATACACATATAAAAGTAACCCTTCCGACTTGGTGTCTTATGGTGCAGATGAAGTATAACTCACATGTTTCTTTTACCTTGGTGTATGAAAGGATAGTGTGGTCAGAGCTAACGTGTGTCGGTAACTATCAGAGCTGGGTGGGCTAGAGTCAGGTATCCATCACAGCTGGGTTGACTCAGTAAGTCAGGTACCCATCAGAGCTGGGTGGACTCAGTGAGTCAGGTACTCATCACAGCTGGGTGGACTCAGTGAGCCAAGTACTCATCAGAGCTGGGTGGGCTCAGTGAGTCAGGTACTCATCAGAGCTGGGTGGGCTCAGTGAGTCAGGTACTCATCAGAGCTGGGTGGGCTCAGTGAGTCAGGTACCCATCAAGGCTGGGTGGGCTAAGTGATCTACCCATAAATATAACTGTACTCACACATACATACATATATAGTTTCTACAAAAGACTTAATTAAACCGTATAACAAAGTCCTTAAAAGCGCTAAGTAGCTTCTAACATATGGAAATGTCCACTTATAGACTTGTTCTTGACGAAAAAATGCAACACAACGTTGTCTTTAAAGCCACGATATAAGCACCTCTTGTAAAATGATACCGCGTTATTGATCAAGTATATAGAATTGTTGTATAGACAAGCACATACTTTGATATTGCAGATAACTTCAACAGCCAAGACCACCACGGCGTTGATTACACTGTTGAAAAACATGTACATTGCCCCTTCGATGAACTGGTTGTCCAGTCTATCACTATCCTTCAAATTGCCATCTAAAATAAAGCAAGTTTTTTTTTTTAAAAAGTTCCTGATGACGAAAAACATATTTGAATAAGTAAGGCATCATGAATAGGATATTTTAAATTTTGCAACTCAAAACCTGTATGGTAATGTAGTTTGTAGTTTTCACATGTTATTTCAACAGATTATATTTTTAAAACTATTACCCCCCCCCCCCCCCACCCTCCCTAGAGGCCCTAAAAACTTAAATCATATATTAAAAACTATTTAAGACCCCCCCCACCCCGCTCCGAAGATGTCTGGAATAAACTCATCATGTCTAACAAATTGCACCGTTGTCTTCAGTTGTAAGTACACCTTTAAGTTATACAATCTTCCTGAATAGAACTTCCTCAATATCAGAGAAGTATAACTTTTTAGAGTAAAACATGTTATCAAACAGTGGCTTACACAAAATCTCCTTAGAAAAGACGGCGTCAACACAAATCCTATTCCCATGTGAAAAAAGCAACAACCCAGCCAAAATTTTGATGGACGTTACTTTAGCGGAGGTAAGGGCGTAGGACAGAGCGTTCAACAAGCCGTAGAAGACTGTGGTAGAGGTTACGACCAACCTACCTATGAGGGGTGGGGGGGGGGGGGGGGATTTTTTACACATTAAATAAAACTATTTTTCAATTACATAAAAATCTTTAGCTTGAATTGATACTTTCAAGCTAAATTATAATTGATGCTTATCCGTTTCAACTGAATTGGTAATTAAGTTTTCACTGAAAGTTAATTAATCTAAAAAGTATTTCATTATTTTTAAGATAATATAGATATTAATAACGAGACGTATTGTGAGAAAGCTAAAATACATTGATTAAATGATTCTCTTACTTGGAAGTAAACATGCCAACACGGACGCAAACGTCAAATTGTTAAGAACCGTTAGCAAAATCCAAATGACGAACTTGGTTTTTGATACATATTGTGTATATCCAGTGTCCATCTTACGTAACCAGTACACAATAGCAACGCCAGAACTCAGAAGGCCCACAATCATCCGATAAAGAATCCACGAAATCCAATAGACAGTTTGAGATACCCCCGCATTTTTCAAAGCATCCTGTAAACGTCAAAACCGCTCAGTGAAGAAAATTAAGACAATGGAGTAAGTAGTTTTATCTCTTCTCTGAGGAAGCCAGTGGCGTAGGCAGGGGGGGGGGGGGGGTTAGACCCCTCGGTATATAAAAAGTATGAGGGGGGGGGGGTGCAAATCGAAAGTTTGAAAGGGGGGGGGGTGCAAATCGAAAGTTTGAGGGGAAGGGGGTGCAAATCGAAAGCTCGAGGGGGGGGGGGGTGCAAATCAAAAGTTTGAGAGGGGGGGTGCAAATCGAAAGTTTGAGGGAGGGGGTGCAAGTCGAAAGTTTGTCCTCGGGTAAAAATTGGACCCCCCCCTTGAGACGATCCTGGCTACGCCACTGGAGGAAGCGTTTAGTAAACGGCAGGGTTTGGTGTAAGACACTAGTCACAAGTATTAGTCTTGGGTCGGCGTGGTTGAGGGTAAAGCTCATGGTTGCTAAACTGAAACGCCCCGAGGTTAAACCCCTCGGCAGATGAGGCTCGATAGCTGGGGACAGCTACAAATTAAGTGTGGAAACTCCAAAATAAAATAAAAACTGCTGTCTTGTAGTTTTTTTTTCTTGAATGGACAAAAGCTATTAAAGCAAATCCAAAAAGAAAAGCAGGCTGAAATTAAATGGTTTATATGGCGCATAACATGTTAACACGTAATACTTAATTGTGTTGAAGGAAATCACGCCCAACATTACAATTGAGAAAGAAGAAGACAAGCGTTAGTATCAGTGCAGTAGTAAGCTAGCAATACCTTATATAATACCTTCTATATTTTGGTTACACTTTTATATTTGGTTATTTCATCCAATTTTTTTTTAACTCATGAATTAAAATATGAAATAACTACAAATTGATTATTCCGTAAAATGTATAATCGCATAATCATTTTGCTTGCACAGTAAGACAATAACCAACAGGAACTGACTACATGGAATAAGGAGCAAGATTGACAGTCTCACTAAGTTGATGTTATACATATTTTACACACACACACACACACACACAAACACACACACACACACATATATATATATATGTATATGTATATGTATATATATATATATATATATATATATATATATATATATATATATATATATATATATATATATATATATATATAATATAGATAGATAGGCCTATATATATATATATATATATATATATATATATATATATATATATATATATATATATATATATATATGTCTATATATATATATATATGTCTATATATATATATATATATATATATATATATATATATATATATATATATATATATATATATATATATAGGCCTATCTATCTATATTATATATATATATATATATATATATATATATATATATATATATATAACGTAGTAGCTCTAAGTAAGATATATGTAAAATTACTTGAATGGATGATGTCTTCTCCTCTACTATAACAACAGTCGACATGACCGTGAACACAATAAAGATGGCAGGCAGGTAGATGAGATACGTCTCGTACACATCCATGACTTTATCTGGCAACCTACGGGTTTTGACGGAGACATTGGAGCTGAAGACCAGCTGTTTCTCTTGCTTCCAGTAGTTCAGGAACATCTTGGTTACGAGCAGTTGCGCCGAAGTTAGACCCGCCTCTGTGTAATCTGGTAGTTAGACATAAATGTAAATAGAGTTTACGTAGATGCAGTAGTGTTACACGGCGGGGACTGATTGCGCACCTTTGAGGGGGTGACACCAATTTTTTTTTATTTTGCGTTAAAACAATGTTTTATCTATTTAACATATTAAAATGTAGAGAAGGGTTGAGATAAATACCTGAAAATTATATATATATATATATATATATATATATATATATATATATATATATATATATATATATATATATATATTATATATATATATATATATGTTATTGGTAGGGGGTGGGGGTGGGGTGAAACTCTTAGAGAAAATATATCATATAACAAAAATAAAATGAAAAAAAAAATTACCAAAGCTTAGGTTGAAAGTTTTGAAAGCTGGAACAGGCTCAAACAAAACAACTTTGAAATCTAATTTGGCTGGAACCTTGTCAGCAGAACTTTCTGCTTTTTCAAACATAATAACATGCTTTTCCTGCTTCCAAAAGTTCCATTTCTTCCACAGACTGTAGGACTGTTCAAGTTGTGATAAGCTGGCCGCCATTGTAGCGTTTGTCAAGTCTGTATGTTTTAAATTTAATTAAACAGTGCTATTAAGTTTACTGCCACACATTAGGGAAATTTTGACATTTATGTAGCATCACCCCCTAATTTTTGTACATATTTGTACGTAAAAATTTGTATTAAAAATTCAATTCCAGCTATCGCAATGAATAAACGTAGAAATATATAGTTTAATTTCAGAAATCTAAATGTGTCGTCAGATTTTTAAAAACTCTAATGGGAACAAAGTTATAGAGGTTTGAAAAGGTGTTATTTTTCACACCTTTCCGTAGTTTCCATGGCAACCAGTACTGCTATCGGTAGCTATATATTATTGTTGTCTTCAGGTTAACAGCCATTAACATATGAATCTATTAACCACACTGAAATATGTTAAATTAAAAAAAAATTCTACCCGTGGTGTCTATCTTTAATATATTTGTCACGATCTAATTCCTCAATACAATATAGCTATACACAGGATATTGTGTTTTTTTTAAAAGTATAACATTAATAAAATAATTTGCGTCTTAATAATAATTAATTATTAAATAATTATTAACTATTTCATCTGCCCCTAAGGATCGTTAAATCTGAAAAAGGAGCTTTTTATTTTTATTTTGTTCTTATCTCCTTTGTACTTGTAAATGTAAAGTAGCTTCCTATTTATTACGTTACTTTTGGCTACTTTAAAAAAAATATTACCCATTGTAAGACCACGGCCCTTTTCATACAAGTCAACAACGTATTTAGAGTTTGGCATAAAAAACGACTGAGGTCGAATCACGCTTTGAAGATTGTTCAGTGGCGTCTCGGTTGTGTCATACTTTGCAAAGCGTTTTGCGTTTACAAAGAAAGCTATGGTCAGTCCTAAACAACAAAACAGATTAAAGGCTATATATATATATATATATATATATATATATATATATATATATATATATATATAGGCATATATTTATATACGTAATATACAAAATCTGTGCCCCTCCCCTGCAGTTTTAAGGCCCCAACCCTGAAATGAAAATGTCTGAATGAAACCTTGCCCCCCTCCTCCCCAATATCATCAATGACATAGTTTGAAGCCAATATTCCACTGTTATCACTTACCAATCTCTAGCATAGTGATCAGACATGACCGATGGTGGCGCTTTCTGTTCTTGTACATTAGGCCGGAGAGCTGGGCTTTGAATTCTTGACTATCTAACATGATAGCAACGTTATTCCATTTTCACGAGACCTAAACGTTTACAAATTAAAAAGAAAACATGATCGATATCGTTTTTTTTTTTTTTTTCAATCCCTAAAATTCAGAAGGACGTCTTGATTAGTGTTGATTTGAATTGTAGTTTTTTTTTAAAACATAAAGCTTTACATATTTACGAAGTTATTTTAAAAATGTATGAGTGTCATCTATATCACGCTAATTTTATGATTTTTACCTCCCACCCGACACCCACACATCATCACACAAAATCTAGACCCCCTACCCCTTCCTAAAATGACGTTACACTTCAGCCTTCAACCACCCATCTTTCCTTCTTCAAAATAGCAGTTAATTATATATATTTTTTATTTCTTTCTAAAAATATTGACTGAGTTAACGTAGACTACAGTAACCAATTTCTATTCAACTGTACTGAAAGAGTTTACATAAACACATAATAATAACGGCTAAAATTTATTTTTGTAACATTACTTTTTTTAAACGCAAAAGAATTACGTCATACTATTTACATTCAATCAAAGGAGACTACTATAATAATAATTAGTTGTTTTGATAAAAATGTGTCTTAAAGTATTGCACTTTTGTGACTGAAACTGCTCTTAGAGAATCCAACTTCTTTGATGTCATTTATAATAATGATAATAATTTATGATAATTATTTATAATAATAATAATTTATAATGATAATAATTTATAATAATAAGAATTTATAATAATCAGAATCTATATATATAATTCTCTTCTGGGAGACGTTAGAAAACAAGCTGCAAGCGCCTCCTTGCAGTCCCCTCTCTTTCTCTCTATCACTATCACTACCACCCCCACCCCACCCCCGCATGGTCTGGTGAGCTGTGTTCACAATAAATGTTTACAAATCGTAGAGGCGGGTTTAGTGACGGCTATTAGGGGCAGATAATTTAGTTTGAAACGATTTTAAACTTACAGGAGGTAACCAAGAGGAGGCTGCTTTCACGGGGGGGGGGGGGGGGGGGGGGGGCGGGTTAGTGTTTTAAAGCAAATATTTTCAGTGGCAGCATTGGTGCTGTCGAATTCACAAATTATGAATTACTGAAAAGTAGAAAATAAAACAACTAACTAGCGGCGTATGATACGCCGCGGGTCGGCTCGTTTATAATAATAATTTATAAAAGTTTATAATAATTTGTAATAAAATAACGTATGTTACAAATAGTTTTATTGTGATAAGAATATTATTCCACCAAGATGACATATCTGTACAAGAGAAGGCGAATATAAATCTTGATCTAGATCCTGTGGATTTTGGAAAAATGCTGAATAACAGACTATAGATCTAGATTCTAGATCTAGATCTAGAACTTCATCGTGGGATGTGTAAACTAAAACGACTAGATCTATTTATTTTTGTATTGAAAGTTTACTGCTAATATTATTATAACCGACTTATAATATTACCGACAATACACACTGAACTAATTTACTGAATAGTTTCTCCAAAATCAACATTTTGAAGCCTATGTTTACTTTTTAAAATCAGACTATTAAATAACCGTCTATAGGATGCAAGTCTTTTTGTTTCGTTTCCTTAATTTCGTGTTTTGTCAGATGTCGTGTTTAATGTTGAATGAGTAGGCCTACAATCGCACAGTTTTCGTTTTGGAATTTTGATGCGCACCGATTAAAAATGATACTTATCGAACCATTTATTTCATCACTTGGTCGTGGAGGGGAGGGGTGGGGGTAGTCGGGCAGGTTAACCTCAGCAAAGAAAAATGTACAACAATTTAAATCAATGTCCGGCTCACGGTAAATTAAAGTGCGACTAAAAATATCTGTAAGAACTATCACTGTATACTTTATTTATTCAATCCCACCTTCCTATTTCTTTCGTCTCTACCGGAAAACCACAGGCCCGGGTTGGTACTTCGCCAATGAAATTTGAACTGGGCTGGCTGTCATTATTGTTATATTTACCTACAAACATGACAAAACCAGCCTCCCGCATCACACTCTCTAGTAATATCTAACGATTCCTCTCCACCCCCTCATTCGCGTATAGAACATAACCTCTACTGTCAGTTAACCTCCCTCCCCCCCCCCCCCCACACACACACCCTCATTCAGGTTGTGTATGATTGCTAACCCAAGAAGTTCAAAGTTCGGATCCTCAGGGCAGATGAGGCTCGTTGGCTAGGGGCAGCAACCCATCTAGGAGAGAAACCCCCAAAATCCAAACAGAATTAAAGCCCCTGGTTTACGTTTGGCAACTCCTGTAACACAGCCGATGCCAAGTTGTATAAATAATGCTTGTTCCCTGGATTCATCAACGGTGTGGTCAGAGTTTGTTCCAGGCATCTCTTCGTGATGGCTCCGAACTAAATGGAATTTATATAGAAAACAAATACTTTTAACAGGGTCCGCCCCCCCCCCTCCCCGAAAATATCAAGTCAACCCCTCTCCGGGAGAAAAACGACAGGAAGAATCACTGAGTGTATGGGGAGGGGCCCCGATATTTGGGCAACATAGAGAGGGGCCCTGATATTTGGGAAACATAGAGAGGAGTCCCGATATTTGGGCAACATAGAGAGGGGCCCCGATATTTGGGCAACATAGAGAGGGGCCCCGATATTTGGGCAACATAGAGAGGGGCCCCGATATTTGGGCAACATAGAGAGGGGCCCCGATACGATATTTGGGCAACATAGAGAGGGGCCCCGATATTTGGGCAACATAGAGAGGGGCCCCGATACGATATTTGGGCAACATAGAGAGGGGCCCCGATATTTGGGCAACATAGAGAGGGGCCCCGATACGATATTTGGGCAACATAGAGAGGGGCCCCGATATTTGGGCAACATAGAGAGGGGCCCCGATATTTGGGCAACATAGGGAGAGGGCCTGCGGCTCTTTTGATGTCAAGATGCGGCTCTTCAGTTCCATGCACAAATATTAACAATTGTTTTATTTTCAAAATTCATTAAAATTATTATAAAGAAATGAAAAACAACTTTATACAGGATAAAAACACTCATCAGAGAACAGTGAGAATAGGTGAGGTAGAAAGTATACGGACAGCTGACAGCCGCTTGGGAACTAGGTCCAGCCCCACAGTCGTGTAGTGACCAGCCCCACAGTCGTGTAGTGACCAGCCCCACAGTCGTGTAGTGACCAGCCCCAAAGTCGTGTAGTGACCAGCCCCACAGTCGTGTAGTGACCAGCCCCGTGGCAACAATTCAATGCTTGCCACTGTCCAAGTGCCGACTTTTTCGAATACCGTTAACTGTTATTTTTCTATATGTCAGTAATCATTAATTTGACGCAGTTATTTTTAGTTATTAACTTCCTACCGTTGAGCCGGGTACTGGACGGTGGGGTACGACTTTACCCTCCGTTCAGTGGGGTGGAAGATAAGCCTGATGAGAACCAAAGGGCAGAAGCGACAGATACAAGGTCATCAAAGCGATACCCAAGCCAGTTAGTCGGAGTTTGTCGTGTTGAGGGCTGCCTGGCTAGGGAGCCGGTGGTGTCCGTAAAGAAAGAACAAAAAAATTATTGGCTTGTAAAGTGGATCGGGGTAATTATATAGTTTTATTATTTGATTACTGATTTTTATCGTGCCAGAGCTAGCTAAAATACTTTAATATGTTTTGTGTGAAATATTTGTATGTTTTTTTATGTATAAATATTCTTTCATATTTAAAGCTATTTATTTCAAATCAAAAATCATATCTATACATCTAATCCTTATCAAATGCCAAAATATTGAAATAAAAATTTTAGTGGCTCTTTAAAAACTGGGTACTTTTGTAAATTGTAACTTTTGGCTCTTCCGGCTCAAATAGTTGCCAACCCCTGGATAGTGTGGTCAGTCGCCTTGACTTTCCCAAATGCGAGCCAGGTACCCATCAGAGCTGAGTGGACTCATGGACGTTCTACAGACTTGAACTCGGGTTCGAACTCGAGATTTTTGGGTCAACAGTCGTATCTGACCATGCCGTCCCACGATCTTTGATTTCTAAATAAAATTAAAAAATAACTACTAACTACTGTTGTCTTGTTAGTTATTGTTACCTTCCTTGTGATATGTATATTCTAGTTATGTCCCTTGGATACACAGTGTTTAGCTGATGTATACATGTAAGTTACGTTACTTTATGTCTTGTTAGCTATTGTTACGTCCCTTGTGTTATGTATATTGTAGTTACTTGCCTTGGATACTAAGTGTGTAGCTGTACTAAAGAAGTTTGTTTACCCTAACAGATAGAAACTAGAAATGTAACAAGTACAATACAATCAAAGTAATAAGATGGGAAATGCTGATTTAAGTTTAATTTTATTTCTTTTTAAGATCATCAAGAATGTTTTATGCGCCGAAACGTATTTAAGATAACTGTAAATTTAGAAAATATATTTAAATGAAAAGCTCTTTGTATAAATTATAGCATGTTCACATCATTGGTTGGTGGACTCTGTTTCTCCTTGCATTCAATGATAGCTCGAAGGCTGTTGGGTTTTTCTGTTCTGGAGACATCACCACCTGAAACGAAATGATTTTTTAAAAGTTTAATTATTTGTCGATTATAATAGCAGAATTGAAATACAACAGGGGTCGGCTTGGTTGGGCCGGTAGAGCTCATGGTTGCTAAATTGTTAAGTCCCGAGTTCAAACCCCCGGCTGAGATGAGGCTCGATAGCTGGAGACAGCAATACGTCTAAGATAGATAAAATCTGAAATCAGACAACTGCTGCCTTGGATGAAAAAAAAATTAAGACTCAGGGTACAACGGTGTACATGAACGATGATAACATGGATATGAAACATGGATAGAAAACATGGATAGGAAACATGGATAGGAAATATGGATAGGAAACATGGATAGGAAACATGGATAGGAAACATGGATAGAAAACATGGATAGGAAACATGGATAGGAAATATGGATAGGAAACATGGATAGGAAACATGGATATGAAACATGGATAGAAAACATGGATAGGAAACATGGATAGGAAATATGGATAGGAAACATGGATAGGAAACATGGATAGAAAATATGGATAGGAAACATGGATAGAAAACATGGATAGGAAACATGGATAGAAAACATGGATAGGAAACATGGATAGGAAACATGGATAGGAAACATGGATAGAAAACATGGATAGGAAACATGGATATGAAACATGGATAGAAAACATGGATAAGAAACATGGATAGGAAACATGGATAGGAAACATGGATAGAAAACATGGATAGGAAACATGGATAGGAAACATGGATAGGAAACATGGATAGAAAACATGGATAGGAAATATGGATAGAAAACATGGATAGAAAACATGGATAGGGAAAAAAATCAGAAGAAAAAGCTAAAAGATTTCAAAATAGTGTCACAGAAAATAAATCTCCCAAAACACTTTTGTATTTCTGACGTCAAGCACTTGGTGTACGAAAAGGAACCAGGTATTGGCGTAATTCTTTACATAACATCCATACAGTAAGACGCAACAGTTAAGTTCCAGAAGTGCTATCTGGTGATTAGTACAACACATGAGGAAGTAATGCCATAGAGTCATGTTATCAAGAAATTATCAGCATTGTCAAACAATAGGTACAAAATATAAAGTACGAGCTGACCCGCAACGTAGCATACGACGCCATCTAGTTGTTTTATTTTCTGCTTATCAGCAATTCATCAATTGCAAATTCAACACTAACCCCTCCCACCCTTTCTTCCCCTCTCCCCCCTCCCCCTGCCCAGTGAACGCAACCGTTTACAGACAATGAAAATATCAATCAGAAATGGTGGAGGTGTAGGCCCAGTGTAGGGTGGAGGCGTAGGCCCAGTGTAGGGTGGAGGTGCTTCATTCCGTTCACATACGTTAATACTAAGCTCTTTCGGTTACTTGAATTTATTTACTCCATCGAACATAACCGAGCCTAATGTTACTATATGTTTTGTTACTTTCGCTTAATTTTCTTCACTACTTTCATCTTCGCTGGTCTTTGCTTATTTTCGCCACACTTTTGTTACTTTCCTAACTTTTGCATGTAGGCCTTTAAATAAACCTGTCCAATATGTTTCTGTTTAACATCGATAAGCTGACACCTTTTTCTGAACTCTCAGCTCCCACTTCTCTGAAAGGCTGCACTGCTTCTATTATCTTTTATGTAGCCTAACAGTGGTGTAGCCAGGATCGTCTCAAGGGGGGGGGGGGGGGGGTCCAATTTTTACCCGGGGACAAACTTTCGATTTGCACCCCCCCTAACCCCCCCCCCCCCCTGCCTACGCCACTGTAGCCTAATCATCAAGTGTGGATGCGAATACTTAAATAGTCATATTTTCCTCCACAAACCCATTTGTTTCTAGCATTTTTGTCTCCCATCAGCTCATATTTATGAGGGGTTGTGCTCTATTTTTTTCCTGGTCGACACCATGCTAACGTTTTTTTTTTTGGCACAACATAATATTTTGAAATGCTACGAATCGTTTTTTTTTGTGTCGACAAAACGCTTAATCAACAGATTTTTAAGTAATCTTAAGACTAGCTTAATAAAAAGTTAAAATTCATACAAAATTTTACCATGAGAAGATGCTGGAAACCCATTTGGATACTGTATCAAGTACTGGCCTAATAACTTCCTCCACAACATCGAAGGTGATAACGGCAATCACACCCGAGTACAAATGTGATCCTGCTTTCATCAATAGTTGTTTCAGCTGTTGTAAGTTAGGGATCTTCAAAGCTTGAATGGCCTTCTTAACAGCGATCGAACCAAATTTCTTGATCGCCCCTTTCACCACGGATGCTAGCGCCGTCGCGGTTAACTTTTTTGCTGCGAAACTGGCGAACGCTGTTTTTAACGCCGGAAGGGCCAATCCTACTGCCGCGAAAGGAGCAAATCTCTTGCTTCGGCTGTTAAGACCTACAGTGTGATTCTGCACTGGAGACAACACAACATTGGATAATTAACTCAATATAGCTGAATACAAGACAAACATATTTGAAAGCGGCGCATTTTTACAAGTTTATATTTAACTAGCTTCCTATTGTGTCTTTTGTTTGTCGTGTATCGTCTATTATCTAGTAAATGTATTCAATACATAATATAAGGACACTCGCTTTTATCTTTAGTTATTTAATTAATTACTATTTAATTATTATATATTTACAGAAAATAATTTATTTTATTCCTTTTTAGTGCATTATTACATAAAAGCTTGTAATTAAAACTTTTTTTGAAAACTACTAAATATGATCTGTCTTTAAATTCGAGGCAACACTACCTTTGACTGGTATTCCGTCAACTAGCGCAGTACTTAACAGCAGAATAAAACACAAGGCTTTCCTTACTGTAAATTGAAAAGGATAATAAAACATGCTGATAGTATTTATTAGAGATCAATACCTAATTTATAAATGTATATATAAATTTATAAATGTAAGTATAGAGCTGGACTTCTAACCCGTAAGTCTCAAGTTCGAATCCGGGTCAAGTCAGTAGACCGTCCCTGAGTCCACCCAAATCTGATGAGTACCTAACTACCTAACTCACGTTAGGGAAAGTAAAGGCGGCTGGGCATAGTACTGACCACAGTATCTCTTCATATGTCGAGGTCACAAAAACAAGTGAACAGTGTTTCTTCCAGACTTTTTTCTCCGGACGGGGGCACTTGATATTTTCGGGGTGGGGGGGGTGGGGGTGGGGGGGGGCGGTCAACATTTTTCCATGGGGGGGGGGGGAGGACACTAGTAAAAGTATGTTTACTGTATAAATTCAATCTCGTTCAAGGGGCGGTAGACTTGCTTCGAAGAGATGCCTAGAAAAAACTCTGCAAGTGAACTTAACGCCACTTGCCCTATAGACCGTCAGGTTTGAAAAGGGAACTTAACTAAGTATAGATTAATAGAAATACAAATATCTAAACATGAAAATATACATGCAAATATACGTTTTACATGGACATAGATATAGAATTTATCACAAATTAAAACTATATTTGTATAAGCTATTGTCGGTAAATTAAAACAAAAATAAAACATCTTTTTATTTATTTTAGTTACCAAGAAATTAGCTAAAGTAGGAGCTGGCCGGCGAAATAGAACATTGGCTAATATCGCATTTATTGACCACAGAATACTTGGACACTTTTATCAGTAGCGTAGCAAGGGGGGGGGTCGGGAGGGGACATATGTCCCCGGGCGCCGACCTTAGGGGGCGCCAAAATGGGTTGGAAAAATAAATTGAAAGGTTGAGGGGGTGCAAATTGAAAGTTTGAGGGGGGGGGGGGGGGGGCGGGTGCAAATCGAAAGTTTGACGGGGGTGGGGTGGGGGGTGGTGCAAATCGAAATCTTGAGTGGGGGGGGGGGGTGCAAATCGAAAAGTTTGTCGGGAAGGGTCGCTACGCCTCTGACTATTATTTCGTGAATAAGAAGAAACTGATTGGAATACAGTTGTTTGATAATACCATGTTCTGTTGATGAAAGCTTCCTTGAGATTCAAAACAACTGAGAAAAGCTTTTGGATCACCGCGAACTTTGTCGACGTGTGGGATAATGATGAGTACACCATCTCCGACTTCCGCTGGTGGAAATTAAATCGGAGTTTGCTAAACTAGCACAAGCCTGCTGGTCTCTGGTTTATGATTTAAAACTTACGATTCATCCTGACGCTTGATCACGAAGTCTCTGATTGGAAGACAAATATTGCAAGTAAATAAACATTGGCATGTATCGTATAGGATTGGGTGCGCTTAGCAGAGGCGTACCTAAGTTAGGGCCAAGATGAAAGTAAAAATCGGCCAAAATGGTAAAGCTATATTTTTTTTTAAATTTTAAATAAACTAGAAATGTGTGGAAGGGTTTTAAAGAAGCAATATTTTATTTGCATTTTATAAGGAAATAAATTCTCTTAAAGAACCAAACTGTTTGCAACATTATATGATACGTTTTATATAAAGTTAAATAGTGTTTTATTTTATTTATCGACATATAGGCCCTAGATTTAATTTTACTGTGCAAAAAAAAAAAATCGGCACTAGTTCTTAAGAAGGAAAAGGAATAATACAGCTCTATCAAGATTGACAAGAGCCTCTAACAGTGTTTCTTCCATACTTTTTTTCTCCGGGGCTGTCGACATTTTTTCGGGGGGGGGGGGGGGGGGGAGGGGGCGGACACTAGTATAAGTATACGTTTTCTATATAAATTCAATCTCGTTCGGGGGGGGGGCGGTAGACTTTCCTCGAAGAGATGCCTGGAAGAAAATCTCGCCTCTGTTTTACCAAAGTAAAACATATAAATAAATTTATATATATATATATATATATATATATAACGAGAGAGAGATGAGATGTAGATATGGTGCATTCTCTTCGGCATCTGAATATTATTACATTTTTAAAAATATACTTTTTATACATTTAGCGAATGTTGAAAATCCGAAAAAAAAAACCAGTGTGTCGACGATAAACGATTCAAGAAGTAGCGATATAATGCCCATTATGTAAGTTACCTATGCTTAAAATCAAGAGTCCGCCCCTGAATTAATAAATGGCTAGACGACATTTTTTAAAAGGTTTGATTGGTCGATAAATATACCGTGACCTTAAAGGTCACCTTTTCGACGTAACAGTACACAACACAGCCTACACATTGTTGTGTGTCGACTTGGCAGTTGTCTTTTGAAAATGTCTAGGGTTAAATGTATTGCCCTAACCTGAACCGTTTTTTTTTTATATTTGGGGTTAGATTCCAAACTCATTGTTAACAATTACTTTAGACATCTAATTAGCAATTATTAACCCAATTACTAAAGTGTTTTTTTTTTTAATATGGCGTGGGAATCGCATGACCGTAATGGTAAACTGCATACCGGTACTGACAATACATGTTGTATTGTTGTTGAAAATATTTTGTAGTGTTTAAATTTGTATTATCTTTGCGATACAGGTTGTTAGTTTAACAAACATAAAGTATAAAAGACGTTAAAGTAAATGCATGCGCGTTCCTTTTTACTCTTACATTGTAAAGATATGTAATGGCCTATTTTTTCAAGAAAAACTCTTCGAGGTTAGAGGACAAATGCAGTATGTCCACTTTTTTTGTGAAATCGATGTAGGCCTACATTTCTACTTGTATTACCAATAATACAAGCTACAAAAACACTCATGTACAATATCAGAAAAGTAGAATGCAAATATTTTATGGATGTTTAAACATAATATTTTTCGCTATTTTAATATTGGAATGAGATTTATAAACTCATTTTTCTCGTGATTATGTTTTTTGGACATACTGCGTTTGTCCTCCATACCCTCGAATGATGAAAAGTATGTTATCACTAAATGGTGGAGGCCTAAAAAATAAAAACTTTGTTTTCATAGTTGTGGGTTAAGATCTCTCTCTGTGTGCGTGTGTATGTGAATTATACTAAGTGTGTGTGTGAGTAGGTATGTGACTGTAAGTTGTGTAGATGTAAGAGTGAGTGTGTCAGTATGTGAGTGTAGGCCTACGTGTGTGTGTATGTTAGCGTGCGTGCGTGTGGGTCAGTGTTTCTTCCAGACTTTTTTCTCCGGGGGGGGCACTTAAAATCTTCGGGGGGGCGGTAAACTTTCTTCGGGGGGGGGGGGCGGACACTGTTAAAAGTATATATTTTCTATATAAATTATATAAATTTCATTACGTTCGGGGGGGGCGGTAAAAAATTTCGGGGGGGCTTCGCCCTCCCGAAGAGATGCCTGGAAGAAACTCTGGTGTGGGTGTAGGTTTGTATCTAAATACAGGCATAGGTCTTCGACTACATGTAACCGTATAAGCACCACAGACATTTTTTATGTTGCGTGAACTTTCGCGTTACATGTGGTACACAAATTATTGGCATTATTGAATGATGGATAGCTTTTTTTCTGCGTCATTGTATTTGTTTTCAACAACAATATCGATCCTTCTGTCCTGAATCTACTGTCTTTCCCAAGATATCCTAAAAACATAAACAAGAAGCACTGACCTAAATGCAATAGCCCTAAATTAACATTTAATAGGGCTTGTAAGTAGGTCACCAACCAGTTCTACGGCTCAATAAAACCTGCATGAGCCATAGAACTGGTTGGTGACCTACTTACCAGCCCTATTGGCAATGCGTTTAAACATATTCCCAGACACTGCATGTAATTAGTTTGCTTAATGCATGCAATTGATTTGACTTAACAAACTGGTGTCGTTTGCATCTAGACGGAATAATTATAAGAATTAGACTATACCAATTTGAGAAAGTCCTCACAGATGTATGCAGGTGTACTCATTCGTGCAGGCTACTTTATGCTAAGGTTGAAAAATTATTAGGTTTTACGAATTGTCTATTTTTAGACGCGTGACCTTTATTTCTTGGATCAGAGTTATTATGGCACGGGTGTGTCCACGCTACCGCCCATTGCGTGCTGTATGAAAGTCTACGTTAGTCAACCTCCGTAATAGTGAGGTAGACATCCTAAGGCGACTGCCCATTTGTAAGGAGCGTCGCGGGCGACCGATCGGTTACGGCCCCTGTTTCGGCTCATCGAATGTCATGTGCCACCGTATTGTTCTTGTTAAAAAGAAATATTAGCGCAATAAAGCTCGTTAGGGAGCCCGGGGATAATTGCACCCTGCAGGGTCGCAGCCGCTCAACAAATCTGATTTTCTTTTCCCCGCAGAAACCTTTCCGGGAGTATCTTAATCATTTTTAGAACAGTAGGCTCATTTTTGTTGGTTTTTTTATGGTCTAAGGGAAACAACCAAGTAAAGTGTTTGCAAAATCATCTAAGCATGGTTAAATCATCGGATTGTTTAAAATTCAATAATATTAGCCCTCCCCCCCCCCGAAATTGAAAATTATTTCACTGAAACCATCCATCCAGGGAGTTGTCTCATCCGTTTCCTAACGTTTCTTGGCAATCGGCACAAAGGACAAACACACGGTTATATATATATCTTTAAATATGGGCCGAAAAAATTATTTGCTTGAGGGTGGGGCTTTTGTTTTCAAGTGCTGCCACTTCCATTCATACTTTTCATTTGGGATAGTTGAAAGCAATCTAAGTAGTGTAAGATGTAATTTTGGGGTGGGTGACAGCAATCTATAAAATGTAATTTGGGGGGGGGGGGGGGGTGACAAAAATCTGTAAGATGTAATAATTGGGGGTGGGTGACACAATCTTTAAGATGTAATTGGGGGTGGATGACACAATCTGTAAGATGTAATTATAAGGTGGGTCACAGCAATCTGTAAGATGTAATTTGGGGGTGGGTGACAATCTCTAAGATGTAATTCAGTGGTGCTTGACTGCAAACTGTAACTGTTAGATGTAAGCTCCCAAATGAGCAGATCTTTGTTTGCAAATGTATTGCAACCCCACTCAATAAATCTCATGGTATACAACATGCCTTAAACAGTTAAAGAAAGAAACACATGACATTGAAAAAATACTTGCGGATGTTTTTATTCATGAGTATCAGAAAGACCTGCTTTTTAAATATTTTTCGAGTGACTTGATTTTATATTTGAAAATTGGACAGACTACCTTTTTCTATGACCTTTTTATTCATGAACATGAGAAAAACTACCTGACAGCCGTACACTGCATGACAGTACATTCTATTTTAAGTGTTGCTACAGAACAGTGCTGTGCTTGTCATTTTGTTCTTGAACATCAGTAAGTTTTGACCCAGCCCGTTCTGTTTTGTTTAGTGTTTTAGTTTTATTCAACAACATTAGAAAAACTTGTTCCAGTGATGCCTGCTGTATGGTGTAATGTTCAAGGTCGAGATCTTTCTTGGCTGTCTCCATCTTGTCAAACAATACAGAGAGAGGAAACATTTCTGCTGGGACTTGAAGGTGGAGGTAGGTGTCCAGTTGGTTGAATATCTACAGAATAAATATATAATCTAAGGGTGGGGGTAGGTGTCCAGTTGGTTGAATATCTACAGAATAAATACATAATCTAAGGGTGGGGGTAGGTGTCCAGTTGGTTGAATATCTACAGAATAAATACATAATCTAAGGGTGGGGATAGGTGTCCAGTTGGTTGAATATCTACAGAATAAATACACAACCTAAGGGTGGGGGTAGGTGTCCAGTTGGTTGAATATCTACAGAATAAATACACAATCTAAGGGTGGGGGTAGGTGTCCAGTTGGTTGAATATCTACAGAATAAATACATAATCTAAGGGTGGGGGTAGGTGTCCAGTTGGTTGAATATCTACAGAATAAATACATAATCTAAGGGTGGGGATAGGTGTCCAGTTGGTTGAATATCTACAGAATAAATACACAACCTAAGGGTGGGGGTAGGTGTCCAGTTGGTTGAATATCTACAGAATAAATACACAATCTAAGGGTGGGGGTAGGTGTCCAGTTGGTTGAATATCTACAGAATAAATACACAATCTAAGGGTGGGGGTAGGTGTCCCGTTGGTTGAATATCTACAGAATAAATACACAACCTAAGGGTGGGGGTAGGTGTCCAGTTGGTTGAATATCTACAGAATAAATACACAATCTAAGGGTGGGGGTAGGTGTCCAGTTGGTTGAATATCTACAGAATAAATACACAATCTAAGGGTGGGGGTAGGTGTCCCGTTGGTTGAATATATTTACAGAATAAATACACAATCTAAGGGTGGGGGTAGGTGTCCAGTTGGTTGAATATCTACAGAATAAATACATAATCTAATGGTGTGGGTAGGTGTCCAGTTGGTTGAATATCTACAGAATAAATACACAAAGGGTGGGGGTAGGTGTCCAGTTGGTTGAATATCTACAGAATAAATATACAATCTAAAGGTGGGGGTAGGTGTCCAGTTGGTTGAATATCTACAGAATAAATACACAATCTAAGGGTGGGGGTAGGTGTCCCGTTGGTTGAATATATTTACAGAATAAATACACAATCTAAGGGTGGGGGTAGGTGTCCAGTTGGTTGAATATCTACAGAATAAATACATAATCTAATGGTGTGGGTAGGTGTCCAGTTGGTTGAATATCTACAGAATAAATACACAAAGGGTGGGGGTAGGTGTCCAGTTGGTTGAATATCTACAGAATAAATACATAATCTAAGGGTGGGGATAGGTGTCAAGTTGGTTGAATATCTACAGAATAAATACACAATTTAAGGGTGGGGGTCCAGTTGGTTGAATATCTACAGAATAAATACATAATCTAAGGGTGGGGGTAGGTCTCCAGTTGGTTGAATATCTACAGAATAAATACACAATCTAAGGGTGGGGGTAGGTCTCCAGTTGGTTGAATATCTACAGAATAAATATACAAAGGGTGGGGGTAGGTGTCCAGTTGGTTGAATATCTACAGAATAAATACATCATCTAAGGGTGGGGGTAGGTGTCCAGTTGGTGGAATATCTACAGAATAAATACATAATCTAAGGTTGGGGGGTAGGTGTCCAGTTGGTTGAATATCTACAGAATAAATACACAAAGGGTGGGGGTTGTTGTCCAGTTGGTTGAATATCTACAGAATAAATACATCATCTAAGGGTGGGGGTAGGTGTCCAGTTGGTGGAATATCTACAGAATAAATATACAAAGGGTGGGGGTAGGTGTCCAGTTGGTTGAATATCTACAGAATAAATACACAAAGGGTGGGGGTAGGTGTCCAGTTGGTTGAATATCTACAGAATAAATACATAATCTAAGGGTGGGGATAGGTGTCAAGTTGGTTGAATATCTACAGAATAAATACACAATTTAAGGGTGGGGGTCCAGTTGGTTGAATATCTACAGAATAAATATACAATCTAAGGGTGGGGGTAGGTGTCCAGTTGGTTGAATATCTACAGAATAAATATACAATCTAAGGGTGGGGGTAGGTGTCCAGTTGGTTGAATATCTACAGAATAAATATACAATCTAAGGGTGGGGGTAGGTGTCCAGTTGGTTGAATATCTACAGAATAAATACATAATCTAAGGGTGGGGGTAGGTCTCCAGTTGGTTGAATATCTACAGAATAAATACACAATCTAAGGGTGGGGGTAGGTCTCCAGTTGGTTGAATATCTACAGAATAAATATACAAAGGGTGGGGGTAGGTGTCCAGTTGGTTGAATATCTACAGAATAAATACATCATCTAAGGGTGGGGGTAGGTGTCCAGTTGGTGGAATATCTACAGAATAAATATACAAAGGGTGGGGGTAGGTGTCCAGTTGGTTGAATATCTACACAATCTAAGGGTGGGGGTATGTGTCCAGTTGGTTGAATATCTACAGAATAAATACACAATCTAATGGTGGGGGTAGGTGTCCAGTTGGTTGAATATCTACAGAATAAATATTCAAAGGGTGGGGGTAGGTGTCCAGTTGGTTGAATATCTACAGAATAAATACACAATCTAAGGGTGGGGGTAGGTGTCCAGTTGGTTGAATATCTACAGAATAAATATACAAAGGGTGGGGGTAGGTGTCAAGTTGGTTGAATATCTACAGAATAAATACATAATCTAAGGGTGGGGGTAGGTGTCCAGTTGGTTGAACATCTACAGAATAAATATACAAAGGGTGGGGGTAGGTGTCCAGTTGGTTGAATATCTACAGAATAAATATACAAAGGGTGGGGGTAGGTGTCCAGTTGGTTGAATATCTACAGAATAAATATACAAAGGGTGGGGGTAGGTGTCCAGTTGGTTGAATATCTACAGAATAAATACACAAAGGGTGGGGGTAGGTGTCCAGTTGGTTGAATATCTACAGAATAAATATACAAAGGGTGGGGGTAGGTGTCCAGTTGGTTGAATATCTACAGAATAAATACATAATCTAAGGGTGGGTGTAGGTGTCCAGTTGGTTGAACATCTACAGAATAAATATACAAAGGGTGGGGGTAGGTGTCCAGTTGGTTGAATATCTACAGAATAAATATTCAAAGGGTGGGGGTAGGTGTCCAGTTGGTTGAATATCTACAGAATAAATACACAATCTAAGGGTGGGGGTATGTGTCTAGTTGGTTGAATATCTACAGAATAAATACACAATCTAAGGGTGGGGGTAGGTGTCCAGTTGGTTGAATATCTACAGAATAAATACATAATCTAAGGGTTGGGGTAGGTGTCCAGTTGGTTGAATATCTACAGAATAAATACACAATCTAAGGGTGTGGGTAGGTGTCCAGTTGGTTGAATATCTACAGAATAAATACATAATCTAAGGGTGGGGGTAGGTGTCCAGTTGGTTGAACATCTACGGAATAAATATACAAAGGGTGGGGGTAGGTGTCCAGTTGGTTGAATATCTACAGAATAAATATTCAAAGGGTGGGGGTAGGTGTCCAGTTGGTTGAATATCTACAGAATAAATACACAATCTAAGGGTGGGGGTAGGTGTCCAGTTGGTTGAATATCTACAGAATAAATATACAATCTAAGGGTGGGGGTAGGTGTCCAGTTGGTGGAATATCTACAGAATAAATATACAATCTAAGGGTGGGGGTAGGTGTCCAGTTGGTTGAATATCTACAGAATAAATACACAATCTAAGGGTGGGGGTAGGTGTCCAGTTGGTTGAATATCTACAGAATAAATACACAATCTAAGGGTGGGGGTAGGTGTCCAGTTGGTTGAATATCTACAGAATAAATACACAAAGGGTGGGGGTAGGTGTCAAGTTGGTTGAATATCTACAGAATAAATACATAATCTAAGGGTCTGGGTAGGTGTCCAGTTGGTTGAATATCTACAGAATAAATACATAATCTAAGGGTGGGGGTAGGTGTCCAGTTGGTTGAATATCTACAGAATACATACACAATCTAAGGGTGGGGGTATGTGTCTAGTTGGTTGAATATCTACAGAATAAATACACAATCTAAGGGTGGGGGTAGGTGTCCAGTTGGTTGAATATCTACAGAATAAATACACAAAGGGTGGGGGTAGGTGTCCAGTTGGTTGAATATCTACAGAATAAATATACAATCTAAGGGTGGGGGTAGATGTCCAGTTGGTTGAATATCTACAGAATAAATACATCATCTAAGGGTGGGGGTAGGTGTCCAGTTGGTGGAATATCTACAGAATAAATATACAAAGGGTGGGGGTAGGTGTCCAGTTGGTTGAATATCTACAGAATAAATATACAATCTAAGGGTGGGGGGTAGGTGTCTAGTTGGTTGAATATCTACAGAATAAATACACAAAGGGTGGGGGTAGGTGTCCAGTTGGTTGAATATCTACAGAATAAATACACAATCTAAGGCTGGGGGGTAGGTGTCTAGTTGGTTGAATATCTACAGAATAAATACACAATCTAAGGGTGGGGGTAGGTGTCCAGTTGGTTGAATATCTACATTGCCAACATTTCTAATGTAGGATGCTCTTTAACCCTTTATTTACGGAATTATGTTCTGAATGAGATTTTTACTTAAACAATGTGTTACTATATTGCTTTTGGCACATTCAAAGCATATATCGAAGGAAATTTCGTTTCATAAATTTTTAATGGCCCAAACAGATATTGGTACTTATAAGTACCGTCAGTAAACTAGGACATTTTTTTTCAAAAATTTTTTTTTTAACAAAACAGGAACAAACGATACAATCTATTAACTAATAACATGGCAATCATTATAACAATCACTTTTTGTAATTTTCACACATAAATACAGCACAAAAGTATATTTTGAGTACGATTTTTACTGCATTTTCTATCGGAACACATCTTAGACCTCAAACACAGCAAAAGTAGTCGACATGTCATGCTCCCTCAATCTTGTCTGTGGTCTTTCTAGTGTTGCAACGGTTGCCGGAATGAATATGCTTTTGCTGGAAGCTTCCAATAACTAGTACAATGAGCCGCATAAACAAACAAAAGCCTAGTCATTCAGCACACAACTACTAGAAATACTAATATAATTGTAGCCTACTATAATGTTATGACAAGTCTACACTACAGTGCAAAGTTCATAAATAGAAGTGAGCTCAATGTGTTTTGGAAGAAGTAGTGGATTACTCTTTTCTGTTTACTGATTAAAATTTACCTTATAGATCTATACTATATGCCAAAGTATGGACTATTACTAGTCTACAGGTTTACATTATGTAAATGCTAGTTGTTGTAGGCAAGACAGTTCATTGCAGTAAATATAACTAACAAATTAAATCTTACAACCTGAACTAGGCTTTGGTATACAAATGAAATATACTAAACCTTATAAACGAGCCTGCAACTGATACCTTTATTCTTGTTATTTTTTTACTACTAGAAATGAACATGTAATTACAATATTTCTTAGGTAAACCATATGCAAACCTTCTTATAAATGTGTAAATATCATTTTTTGAGTACATTTCGATAAATAATTATCAAGACAATATTTATGTAACTCCACCTAACAAATCTGCAATTTTCTAAAAATCCTAAAAAAAATGACCGTGTGCCCTGACGGTACTTATAAGTCCACTTGTAAACATCGATCTAATACAAAGACAATTTGATTAAAATTGTATAACTAGAAGTTAAACGCGTTTGCCTGACTATTGAAGGTGCCAATAAAAAATATTTGGGGTTGAAAACTTGAAAAATAAGGTAAAACAAAAGGAAATCAGGAACGGGTGTGAGAAATGTACAGAAAAATTGTGAACTACCGATATAGCAAGACATTGAAAAAGCGCCACACCATTATTTTTTTAAAAAACATTGATACCTCCGACTACCGGCGACTCGGGGGAGATAATACTATAAAATACATCAATAATTTTAAAAATTCGTATTTAATTTAATATAATACAGGCACTTTATTAAAGTGGTACTTATAAGTACCGTCAGTAGATAAAGGGTTAACATGTATGTAGGCTCATAGGGGACACCAGAGCACATCAGATTGCTAACTACCCCTCAACCCCTTTTAATTTATTTTCATATTTTACCTCTATCTGATCAAAGAGTTCCTTCAAGTATTTGATCACTTCATCCATGGCATGTCCAGGTTGAGGTTTCAGATGTACAATGATGGTCAAACCTTGGGCGTATTTTGTCTTGAGGTGCTGGGGAGTGCCCAGACACAGGAGCTTGCCCTGAGCCATGATGGTCAGACGGGTGCACAGGGCCTCACACTCCTCCATGCTGGACACAAGACAAAACCGAGAATTAACCCCTTGCTCGTTTGGTACCTCTAGATATGAATTTAATGTGGTTTGCTTTATTTGTTATCAATTGAAATTTAAATAAAAGATCTACAACTGATCCATTTTGGGAAACGTGATTTTGAAAACATGTTAATTTTGTATTTATCATGTATATATATATATATATATATACATATATACATACATCTAATATATAAAGCTCAATTCTGTAACGCATATGTTTGTTTGTCGCTGGTTATCGATGGATTTAAGTGTTAGAAAATTATCGTGCGCATTTGTCTAAATTTATGAGTTAAAAAATTACTATTAAAAGTGTTGGGAAATCATTTTCATTTTTCAAATTATAGTAATAATTGTCGGCATGTTCGTTAAACACAAGTTTTAAAAAAATATCATCTTTTGCAAAAATTCTAATTATGTCTTTATTTAGTCCTATAGCGCTTACTTCCCTTTGATAAATTAGGCAAAACACAATTACTTCCCTTTATAAAACCATTGCATTAGTTGAAAAGCATTTACTTTTTAATTACTTTGTTTTGGTGTTGGGAAAAAAATAATTACATAATTAGCGGGGATTGATCAAGTGCAAATGCTGTAGGTATTTTACGGATAAGCTTGGAGTATTATAATTGTTCATTAAATTGAAACAGGCGCGTTCGTTTAAGTGAGTGCAAAAACTATGAATAAGTTGGGGTACTATAGTCGTTCATTAAGCTAAAACAGGCGATTCTGCCCCGGGCGTTTATGTTCGCGTTAGTGTTTTCTTTGTGTTTAGGTGGGTTTGCGTTAGTGGTTGCGTTTTGATTTGGTTCGTTTTTGTTCTTTCTTTTTTCGTTTTTGTTTGTGTTTTTTTTGTTTGGGTTTGTATTTGTGTTTTTGGTTGGTTTTGCGTTTGGATTTGGTTTGTTTTCGTTTGCTTTTTCGTTTTTTTTTTTTTTTTGGTATTGGTGTTTGTGGTTGGGTTTGTTGTTAGGTTTTTGTTTTCGTTTGTTTTTTCTTTGTGTTTGTATTGGTGTTTGTGGTTGGGTTTGTTGCTAGGTTTTTGTTTTCGTTTGTATTTGTAATTGTGTTAGCGTTATGTTTGCATTTTGTTGTTTTGGTTTTGGTTGGTCGTGGTTTGGGTGAGCAATGCCGGGTTTATGATGATTACTAAACACACAGGTAATGGTCTTTAACAGAAAGGTTTTTCACAGAAGCCAGAGCAGGGCCTGGCCGGGACGGCTAGTATACATATATACATACATATACATACATATATATACATCTATAATATAAGCGGCTAGGTAGTGTGTCAGTCCTTCCTTCCTTCCGTCATCGCTATAGCTTTTGGAACCATAAAAGTAAACAACGCACCATGCAGTGCTTTTCAGTGCACCGCATTGTCTTATTATAAGTATTGTTGTTGTTGTTGTTGTTTTGGGGTTTAAAGTCCGCTTTCAAACTTACGTTTATATCGCAGACTATTTTTGGTGGTTAGTTCGTGGTTTTTGTGTATATACAGTTTGGTTTCATTTGTTTTCCTTTCATTTTTGGGTGTAGTTTTTTTATTGTGCGGGATTTGTATTTTGTTATTGGGTGAATATTATTTTATCTTTACAGCTTATTAGACTGATTCTTCGGTTTTGTGCACATATTTTTTTACCAGGCTAAGCAGAGTGGATGGGGCGTCCATAGCCAGTAATGTTTCTGTTGTTAG